GTCTTTCCCTAACTTAATTAGATATTCTTGCACTTTGGTTTAAAATAGTATTTAATTTCACTTAATGGATTTCAACCAAAATATTAGGATTCCCCAAACAGACATGTTCCTTCTCATTATTTTATCCAAAGGCTTCTGTTTCATCTTTTCCTTGCTTTGTCAAAATCTAGTTAATTGACTATACTTAAAGTATAATCTTAGCAATTTCCCTTAGTGAGGCATCAGTGCTTCTTCTATTAACATTACCTAATTGCAGTTATAATCTCTAGCTGATTACTTCACCCACTTCACAATTCTGAAAAGCAGTAAATGATAAATATTAACTTTCCACTTAAATATATATAGACTCCTCCCAAATATATTCTGTGATCCTTTGAGTATAATCTTATTAGATTAATGGAATTTTTGCTATGTGAATCTAAGGGAATGTTCAAATACTTATTTCATCATCTTGTTAATGGAAACATTACCTTGGGGATGTGGGACCTGAAATAGGTTTTTAAAGTTTATTCCATAATTTTATTCCAACTTGTCAAAGTGAGTTGCTAGTTTCCAGAAGTACAACAAAGGAAAAATCCTAAAAATAAAACTGGGAATAAAGTGATAATGCAAAGTTCCTTCTCTGTCTCTCATGCACACATGTGCTCACAACTGAGCCGAAAATTTCTGTTGCTAAACAAGACATTTGTTAAGTGAGTTTTGCCCCTTTTAATGACCTTTCTTGCCACAGTTTTTAAGTGANTTGGGATGAGTGACATTCTCGTTCCTACAGAGACGGCTATTCTTTAGGCGAAGCTACAGTACTTTTTGTCCTCCTTTGGAAGCTGTCTCTCGTGATGTTTGCGAGCCAATCAAGAGTGTGGCTTGGAAAACCTGTGGTGTGATCGTGCTGCGCGGGAGCGAGTGTCTCTCTCCGAATATGGAGGACATAGTAGGCAACTTGTATGTATCCTTAGAAAATCAGTAAGACCCGCTGGCGGCCCATATCTGCCACGGCCTTGCAGCCTCTTTACATTGGTAAAGATAATTTTTTTAAAAAAAATCGGGACTTTTTAAGAACGCTGCGGGACGCGGGACAAATTGTGCGAAATCATGACTGTCCCACCAAAAGTCTGTTCACCTTACCTTAGCCTATTTGGAAATTATCTGTAATTTTGTTTCAAATCCTTTGGAACAGTTAGTAACTTGAAAAATCAGACAACTAATATTCAAAACTATACTACAACACAAATGAACTTAAGTAGGAAATGAAAACCTATGCACACCTAAAAAAAGAAAATAACTTCAGCTTCTAAATACTATTCTGTATTTCTGTATTCATAAAGGTTGATGATAGGTTAGATATTTTTAATCAATGTTAAAAATATGTACGCAGAGCTAATTAAATTGGTTTTTTCTCCAGGTTTGCAGTCCAACAGAGACTGCGGTGAAGGAAATAAAATAAGATTTCCTCTGCTATGAGGAAAATAAAATACTCCTCTGGCAGTAACATTATGTCTGTTGATAGAAAAACATGTCAAGAAATGAACATAGAATGTAGGGATCTTTAAGGTCTTGTATTCCAACTCCCTGCAGAAGCAGGAGACCCTTTACCAGTGATGGTTAACCTTTTCGGCACCGAGCACTGGAACCCGGAAGAGAGCAGCTGGCCAGTGCAGATGCACACCAGCCAGCTGCTCTCTTCTGGGTTCCGCTGCATGCATGCACACCAGTCAGCTGGTCTTCACATGTGCACACCAGAATCCAAAAGAGAGCAGCTGGCCGGTGAGCATGCATGCTGGACCAGCTGGCAACGGTGTATGTGCCCACAGAGAGGGCTCTCCGTGCAACCTCTGGCACATTTGGTTCACCATCACAGCCCTATAACATTTCAGATAAATGGTTGTCTCTTTTTAAAGTCTCCAGTGATGGAGCATCCACAACTTTTTAGTGATTCTTTTATATTTCTTTCTTGGGATCATATTTTTTCCTAACATTTTTGCACAGATTAAATGTTCCCTCTGCCTTACCCCTTATCTTCTTCTGCTGCATCATTTGGATACTCATCCATAACCCTTTCATTATTTTTTAGAAAATATTCCCTTTTTTTCTCTGTTCTATTTTAAGCTCTTAAAGAATTATCTACTTGATTCTTAGTGTTTATTGTTACTGTCTTTTCAGTGTTTTTGTCTTGTAACTTGTTTTGATTTGACTCCTTTACCACTGCTTCTAATTTCTCATCTGTCTTCTGAATATTATGTTCATCTTTCCCACCATTTGTTGAGGGTCTTCTACATGCATATCTTTAACTTTGAACAATTCCACCATCTCTTTATGATTTTTTGTCACATTTTCGTAAATACTTTTAACCATCATTAACATTTCTTCATAGAACTTTATTGTCTCCTCCTGAGTATTTTCTGTTATGGATTGCACCAGTAGAGGCTAAACCAATTTTGTTGTATACATGATGTACAATGGCAATAAAGGCTATGATGATGATGATAATGATGTATCAAATTAATATATTAAAAATTACTCAATATACCTCTAATATTGCAACTTCCCAATATCTAAAAACTCCAAAAAGTCAATTATTAATAAAATTTAGTCAATCTCAGAATTATTCCTCCAAGTCCCCTAAATTTCTAGTCCTTAAAAGCTATAAATTTATACTTTACAGTGTTTATAATTTCCAATTTACACCTTCCCAGTTTTGTTTGTCTTTTTTCCCCTTCTATCACTTTTCTTCTTTTGTCTTGTATGGTGATCTATCGGGTGATGTTAGTAAACCATATCCAACTTGGCCACCAGGTTTCCTCAAAGCTTTCAAATTCACCTTTCAATGAACAGTTTCAATAAGGTTTTAGTATTTACAGTTCAGTTTGCCTTAGAGATCTTCAAAAAGCTCACTAAATATTTCCAAGCATCCAAATCACCTACTAAAATAAAGTAAAGGTCAAATAGCTTTCCAGGTATTGTTTACTTTCTTTCCTTTCATCACTTTCACTTGTTTCCCATGTTGCAATAATGTTCTTCCCACAATAGATGGCTCCCCTGCTCCCAATTCCAACATTCAACAGAGTCAAAACAGCTGATTGTCAACCAATCAGGGGGTTTAAAGATAGAGTTTAAAAAAGCAGTTTCTCCCAATAATCACTTTTCACAATGTTATTCAACTTTTTCCAGGCTTTATTTGTTTTAAAGAATCATTTAGGTATTTCTTTTGCATCTGAGTCTTTAATTTCTCTTTAGTTTTTAGTCTTTAATCCTTCTCCATAAATCCAATTGCCGCTTTCTTAATGTTTGGAGATTGGTTTTTGGAACTTTTTACTTGGACTAAATCTCAAAGATATAAGTTTGAAATTATCTCACCCAGTTTCACTGCTCTGTACACAGACCACTCCAGCATAAGATCTTAGTGTCCCAGTTGTCCCACTTTGTGACTGATCAAAAGGGCCGTTGTCCTTGTTGTTCAGGAGAGCTTTCTTCAGATCCATGAGTGTTGTAATATAGTTCCTTGTTTAGGTGTGNGCCCATCAGCTTTATGGGAGGAGCTCCTGGAAAGAGAACGGAACAGAGTGCAGGAAGCCTAACTTAGCAGGGTCTCAAAAGAGGTCCTGGGATGGTAGAGGGAGCTGGGGGGGGGGGGGTAGGTTGTCTTATTCCTTCCACCCCAATGACGGAAAAGGGTGTCCATTGACAGGTGTACCTCCAAAAGGAGATCAGAGATGGGAGGACATGTTTTGGGGCATGGGAGAAACACTGGGAAAAGAGAAACACTCCAAAGTGTGCCAGGCCCAACCAGAGACTTCAGAGAACATCCTGGAACAAATGATCCCTTGCATTTGTGTGCCTGTGTGTGTGTGTAGGAGGTTGGGCAACAGTTTTGGAAAGTTGGTGACTTTTCTAAGCCCCACCCCCTTTCAGGGATTTGATTTAGACTGGAGACATTACAAAATCATTTATTTCTATAATTTAGATGCCACATGATTCTAAACACTGGGCGTCTTGTTTTCAGCACCCTTGAGGCTTCTTCCTGCTGCATTATTATCCTTAAAGCAGGATTTCCAGCCCTGCAGCAATTAGTTTGTCTATCCATCCAATTCATACATTCATCCACTCTGCCTCGATATTGTATCTGTCCATCCATCATCTATATCTATCCTCTCCCTCCCTCCAGCTATTACTTTATCATCTATCATGTACCTATGTATGTATCCATCCATTCAATCTGTATAATCCATTCATCTCTCTCCATCCATGCATTCCTCTATCCATCATCTCTAGCTATCATCTTATCTACCCTTCCATTCATATTATCTGTCATCTTAGCCATCCATTCATCCTCTTTAGCTATCATCTTATCTACTTATCCATCCATCCGTCTCTATATATCCATCCATCCAATCTGTATTATCTATCTGTCCATCTCCATCCAACTCTCTAGCTATCATCTTAACTATCACTTATTTACCGATCTATCCATCCCTCTTTGTATCCATCCATCCATCCATCCCATCTCTCTAGCTATCATCTTGTGTATCCATCCATCCATTTCTATCCATTCATATAATCTCTCTAGCTATCATCTACCTGTCCATCTATGCATCATCTGTTTACCACTCTACCTCTTTTATCTGTCCATTCATCCATCCAGTTATCTAGCTATCATCTTATCTCTCTTCATCCATCCATCCATCCATCCCTCTATCCATCCATATCATCTACCTATCCATCTCTATCTACCTCTTTTATCTATCTATCCATTATCTGTCTCTCCTTTCCTCCTTCTATGAATCTGATTAATCAACTTGTAATCTCAGTATATCTAGGAATTCCCCAAGAGCTACCCACCATGCTAATGCCGAGGCTGATAGGGCAGAGAAAATATGAGGCAAGTTGAGTTTGTTCTTCAACCTGTGATCTGAGCAACTCATCTCTCTGCATGGAAAGAGACTCTCTGGAGGGGCAGCCAAGAGCCTGTGGGAACAAATACCTGTTTCGTCTCTGGGAGGACGTTCCGGTCCAGGAATCCCAGCGGACCCGTTCCAGCTCTTCAAATTTTTGGTGATAGTTCAGATATGTTTCATCCGAAGTGTCTTCCAGCTAGAACAAACAAAAAAAGGACAAAAGGTCTCCAATCTAGTTCAGAAATGGTGTGGGGGCGGTGGGGCACGAGGAAAAGAAGTGGGGGAGGATTGTAAGATTGCGGGTGGTCTGAGCTGGGTTGTTTTCTTGCAGACGTTTCATCACCTGACTAGGCAACAGCATCAGTGCAAGAAGGGAGAGGAGTTTAGAGTGGAGGAGGAGGAGGAGGAGGCAGATGTCGAGAAGAAAGAAAATGACTTGGTGCTCTGAGCTTGAGTGTTTTCTAGCAGACGTTTGATTAACCAACTAAGTAATGACATCAGTGTTAGAAAGGAGAGGGTTTATGGAGAGGAGTAGGGGAAAAGGACTATGGAGTCCTTGGTGGTCTTTAAGCTGGGTGATTTTCTTACGGACGTTTCATGACCGAACTAGGGAACTGCTGAAAGGCAGGAATGTTTGTAAAGAAGCAGGAAGAAGGGCTTAGGTGTCTTTGGTGCTTTCTGAGCTGGGTTTTACTCTTGCAGATGGTTTATGACCCAATTAGGAAACATCATCAATGCTAGAAGGGAGGGGGGATTGAAGAGAGGAGGAAGAGGAGGAGAAGAAGAAAAGGAGGAAAAAGACTGTGGGGTCCTTGGTGCTCTGTGAGTCAGGGTTTTATCTTGCAGATGTCTCAGGACCCAACTAGGTTCCATGTTTCCCCAAAAATAAGACAGGGTCTTATTTTCTTTTGACCCCACAAATATTGCTTGGGCCTTATTGTTGGGGGAGGGGCTTATTGGTTGGGGTTGCCGGGTGGCTGCTCTCTTGCGAATGGGCGCCTGAAGAGCCAGGACAAGCCTTAGGGGCAAACAGCTGTGTGGTGCTGTCGCAGCAGTGCAACAAAGCTGCCATGAGGTGACCATGCTCATGACCAGCCGCCCGGCAACCCCCCTTTCCAGCCGGGCAGAGCACCACTCACTGACCCAGTAATATCCCAAAGGCGCTATGTTGTAATATGGTTCCTTGTGTAGGTGTGTGTCCTCCATGGCCTAGTTCACACTAGGGCCTGCAGGGTCACGCTGAATCACACAGGAGACAACTGGCTCCGAGAAAGCCATAACATCCTGATAGTGAATAACATAACATCCTGAGATGTGCCCTACCATTGACGTCCAGGATTTGACCATATATAGAAAGAACTTTCCTGAAGCAGTAGATTAGAAATTGTACTTTTACAGGCTGTTTTCTATCACATGCTATTGCTCCTCCTGCCTTTGTCCTGTCTCAATAAAAGGGGCTACCAGACCCCCAATCTGGGTCGCTCCATCTTGAGAAAGTTCGTGTCCTGTCTTTTCTCAACATTGGCCTCATGGACGAACAGCGGAAACTTCACATCCCGGGACACTGAATCTCTCATAGCTGAGTTGCCAAGTGGCTAAATTTTGTTCACTTGACCATGGGGATGTTGCAAAGGTCGTAAGTGTAAAAACGGTCATAAGTTCCATTTTTCAGTACTGTTTAGACTTTTGAATGCTCAGTAAGCAAACTGTAAGCCGAGGACTACCTACCAATTTTCAATGCTTCCTGCTAGCTTCCTCTATGCAATCATTGGGGAAGCCAGCAGGAAGCCGAGGTTACATGAGCTTGTTGCTTCATGATAGCAATCGGAACTGCCAGAATTGCTGTCATTAAGTTACAACACTGTGCTTTGCAACCCCATCTCTCATTGACTGACATTTTGCTCTCGGTTACTGTCCTAAGCCGAGGACTGCTTCCAATTACTGTCATAACCTAAGGACGGTGCATTATTAATGGAATAACCAAGCTCTCTGAACCAAATCTCACCTGGATCTCGTCTGTATTGAAGGAAGAGTCTTCACTGAAAGAATTCCCTCCTCGGCCTCTTAACACCAGGGACGTTGGGACGTTGAAAGGGTCCGGGCTGAGTGATGCAGTGGGAGAGTTGGCACCCTGAGGGTAGTGAAGACTATTCGGCACGCTGTCCTGACAGCCGGGAGGAGGCACCCAGCGCCCATCAGCTTTATGGGAGGAGCTCCTGGGAGCAGAAGGAACAGAGAATCCCATCAAGCAGGAAGCCTAACTTAGCAGGGTCTCAAAAGAGGTCCTGGGATGGTAGAG